GGAGAGAGGTGGTGGGTGCTCTGGGAGGAACGGTTGGAGAAAGGGCTGGAGGGAGGCAACATGTCTGGCCTGGCAGGAATAGGCCTTGGGTTACTGCTGGTAATCCTGTCTTCCCCTTGTGGGATTAGAGAAGGTCAGAACATGTGGCCTCCTTGCCGTTTTTGCACAATTACTAAACGAAAGCATAAATGGAAGTGTAGCCAATGAATTTATACCTCAAAAAAGCAACCAATGAAAGGCAGACTCTGATACGGCCTTAACAAACTGCCATCCATGTGACAACTCAGTCAATTGGCATAATATCATTCACAAAGTTCATGTTCTGCATCATAGTGAGTTGAGTAGCGCCTGTAGTCTTAAAAGCTTGTGAGTGGCCATCTGAGATCTAAGTATTGGTATAGTAGTGAGAAATAGAAAAGAAAGAAGGATACCAAAGTCTCAGAGAAGAAACGAGTCTATAGGGCTAACAGCACACACGAGGCACAGCCTCATGTACCCTGAGACCACAAGAACTAGATTGTTTCTGGCTGTCACTACCAGCCATTCTGATCAGGGCCACACTAGATGCACCTTGACAGAATGGGAGAAAAGCACAGAACAGAATTCTAACTCTTAAAACTCAGACTACTGGATTCTTTGAGGACTCTCTGAAACTCTCTCTCCCTGAGACACTAAACACTGAACTGAAACTATCCTGAGGTCACCTTTTAGAGAAGTAACAGATTGGCTTACACAAAACAGGCTAATTTCTGTGAGTACAGCGCTCCATTAAAAAACCATATAAATATGACGAAAAAGTCAACAATTACTCTAAAGGAAAGATAAGAAGATAAGGGGCCAGGGAAACTAGAGTAGTGGAAATGAACAACCAGACTCAAAGAGAATATTGTCACACTGTGGAAAATATAACTAATGTCACGGAAAAATTTGTGTGGAAATTGTCAAACAGGAACATAATTTGTTGTGTAAACATCCACTGAAAAAACAATAAATTATTTTAAAAAATTAACTACCAGCACCAAAAGAGAGAAAAATACCAGAGTGCTATTCTCTAATACTTTGGGCTCAAACTGGTGAAAACTTTTTTAAAAAAAACTTTGGTAAAATGAGCAAACTGCAAAATGGTCAGACGCACTGATGGCAATTCCTTGCCCTTGAATTTGAACTACCAAAATGCTTGGCCATGTGTACAAGTACGCATATACTAACTAGTATGGTCACTGTAGCATCATTTCTAATAGCCAAAACTTGTAACAATCTAAGCATTCCAGTGCCACAACAAAGGTTGCAAATTATAGCATATGCTTTCAGAAGACCAGCATGTAGCTGTGTAAAAGAAGGTAGTAGACTCTGTGTGCTGAAAAGGAAAGATATATTTGGGAGAGGGGGGATGAAAAGTATAGGACACCATATATTTTTACCCCACAAGGGGTATTTAAAAATATTTGTTTGTGTATACACACACACACACACAGATTATTGCTTGAAGGATACAAAAGAAAGTGGTAATGATGGTTCCTGGAGGGAGGAGTGGGGGCTGGGGGAAAGAGAAAGGCCTTACTGTCTATTTTAGTTAAATTTGCTAATCATATGCATACATTACTTTTATTATTAATATTTATGAGTTTCTGGGTGTTTTTTCCTCTATATGTTTCTGTATAGCCAAAGACAGGTACCAATTATTTCTGTCTCCAAATCCAACAGAGACTAAAACAGCAACATTAATTTGACATCACTTACTGTGATCTTTTTGTGGTCAGGAAACTCGAGGCCAAAATAGTCACCTTCCACGAGATTGAGGTGATTGCAAACTGCATCCAGCAGCACTTTCCCCGGAGCTCTTTGCTGTGGACAGAAATAATGGGGAGTTATACCCTCTGAGAGAGGCAGCAATGAAAACACCCCACAGCTCCTTCCTGCCTAGAGGAAACCTTCAAATCCTTCACAGCTTACCTTCAACCCATCTTTCCCATGCAATGTCCCACCATTCATCTCTCTAATACCCTGAATGCCATCTGCCTACACCTCTGCGCACTGTTGCCATTTTCCCTCCACAATCCCTGGCCCTTTTGTGACAGCTGAAATCCTGTCCCTGTGCCTCTCCTTTCTTCTCCTTCATAAACATGCAGAATTTACTGCTCCTTCTCTAAGTGCTGATAGCATTTTGTGCAGACTCTCATCCAGGCTATACAGACATGGAGGATAAAGACGGTATTTTATTCATCTTTGTTCCTGCAGTATCTTGAGACCAATTTTGTTGAAATGAATGCACAAATGAATAAAAGTTACTGATTGCACTGTATTATAATGAAGTATCTATGAGTATGTCTCCTCAATTAAATGTTGGGCTATTTACTCATCTTTATTTTCCTCTTGCCTAGCAAAATACCTGACACTGACTCAATGTCTGCTGAAATCAGTACTATACATTCATTTCCTATATACTAAGTCTATAGGTAAGGAAAATACGATATGTAAGGACCCAATTTCTACCCTAGAAAGCTTAGAATCATATGCCTTGGTTTCTCTTACTACCCAGTGGTTTCCTAATGATCCGCTAGCAAGATGAATCAAATTTACTATATAGATCAAGCGCTAAAAGAAAAATGCTTCAAAGACATTGCCCTCTGCAGTTACTGGTTTTATGGTTTTACCTCCCTTCTGGTAAGAGCAGAGTTTTTTAGGAACCAGATAGTAACTCAAGAGAACAACTGACAGTAAAAGCCTGATGAATACAATGATCAACTCTCTATTACTCTGCCTCACGGTGGCCTGAAGAGCTGTTAAAATGTTAGTGTCAAACAATATAAGCACTTTTTTTTTTCCAGATGCCATGTTATTTCCCCATTTTTGCCACCACTGAAATCCAGAAGATACATACAACTATCTGAAGATGTGGAATATTTTCCATGGGTAATCCCAAACTTGCCAGGCTGTAGACCTTGTCTGGTTCAAGAGCCATTGGTGAAGTCACTTCACTTGTACTGATGGCAGGAGTATACAATCACAATGTAACCCCTCATTCTTCCTTCTCAAGCACAGCCCCACATTCCCTACATAGAAACACACAATCTCTCTTACACACACACACACACACACACACACATGCTTCTCCAGTGAAGTGGATCTAAGGGGCCCACATAGATTACTGGTCACTTTTTTTTTTTTTTTTTTTTTAAGGAATCCTGGTGGCACAGTGGTTAAAGCATTCAGCTATGAACAAAAATGAGGTGGTCTGCTTCTGTAAAGATTTATAGCCTTGTAAAGTATTTGAGGCAGTTCTACTCTGTCCTATATGGTCATTATGAGTTGGAATCAACTCTACAGCAGTGGGTTTCGGTTTTTTTTTTTTTTTTACACTGCTTTGGTACAACAGTCTGCCTTGTTTCAGTTATATAGTGTGCACTTGGGAATGCACCCAGCTATGCCAACATAGGGGACAACCAGCTGCTCCCTATCACTCCTTGGCCCTGGGTTCAAGGTCTCTCATCAGCCTCCTGAGAGCTGTGTGTTTAACCACTGTACAGCCATTTATTCTTGGCCCTCCTCTTACTCTGGGGGCAGGGATAGTTCAGTGGGAGAATTCTCGCCTTCCATGCAGGAGATCTGGGTTCGATTCTCAGCCAATGCACCTTATGCACATCACCACTCATCATCAGGGGAGGCTTGTGTGTTCCTATGCTGAACTGGTTTCAGCACAGCTCTCACATTAAGATGCAACAGGGTGAAAACCCTGGTGATCTACTGAAAACCCATGAATACCCTTAAGGGGTACACCATTTTGTTCCACTGTGCGTGGAGTTGCCACTAGGCAGGATCAACTCCAAGGCAACTAACAATAACTTCTCACTCCAGAAAAATCCGCCCATATTAACTACAATGTTATAAGCTAAGATTTTTTGTAAGGAAAAGTCACTCCCAGTTTCATAATCCTTCTTTTTCACAATTTGGGACAATGTTTTCTATTTGTTACAAAAATGAACCACCAATTATCTGACCAGCTGGTAAGCACTCACATTTCCCAAAGAATTACTGGAACTAAATGAATTTGGTAACTTTATCTAGATTTACAGAGCCTGGGAAATGAGACTTAACAATTTAAAGCTGGAAGTCGAAACAAGTTAAAAAAAAAAAAATCAATATACAATGGGAGTCTTTATGGGTATGGTGTTAAATGAAGTATTTCATGGAATACACAGGAGAGAGGCAGAGTTGACAAGTAAACTGGGTCCTTTACTGAGGTAGCAGAGATTTTTATGAACATATTGAGCGTATCTTGGTAATAATGAGAGGCTGTGTTGAGACCTAGAGGCACAGCACTGTCTCAGCCCCTTCAGATACCACTAATGTTCTGTTCAAGACAAGCACAGCAAATGATCAACATCTTGCAGAAAGATGGGTCTGTAATAGATGCTTGAAATCTAGCTAGTAAATGATATAAATTTGTTTTCAATTCTTTAAAATATCCTGAGAATTTATTATTTTATATAAATCCTTTACACAAAATGACTTTTCTCCTATACTTAAAATTTTATGTAAAGAAAAGTCAACTTAGTGTTTTGAATGATATCTTTACAGCTCCTAAAATCATCTACAAAATGGATGTCTATAAAGCATTATATAAATTCCTGTGCGAATGCTGGCTATACTCAGGGTTATAAAGAAAGCCAGTATGTGGCAACACTAGAAAGTATTTCTAAAGGTTTAAATATGCCCCCCGCAAGTGTCTATAATGGGCTCCATGGACTCTGCAATAACATCCCAATGTGTACAAAACAGATACAGCCTAAAACATGGGCCGACATCATGATACCAGAAGTTCATCGGTCCTATTTCCCTTTCTTTCAGGAGTTGATGTAGCACTGTCTGGTATCCTCAATGCACCCAGGGCCAAATTCTGCATTAAGGAAGTATCTCCAAGAAGGGAAGCAGGCAAAATTTCCATTAGCTCTGATACAGCTAATGCATCCACACTGTGATTTTTGCTTCTTCTCATTCTGTAAGAAAAATTATCCTTGCCTTTCTTTCTACAATAGTTTTACTCCACCAGTGTGATGCATCATTTCTTTGCACTTGTGTCCAATGAGTTTTTTAAGTTTCACCCTAAAATTAATGCTGTTCAAAACCATGTCACATAATTCAAGACAACTTACACTCATCCATATTCTGAAAAGTTCAAAGGATAGAAATTTAAATACAAAATAAATCTGATATTTGAAGGCTCTTTAGTTCTTCCAATTGCAAGAGATGGAGGGATTTTAAGGAATTCACAAAAATCTGTTCACCCAAAACTTGTCAGATGAGGGTCTTCCTACTGAAGAAGAAAATATCTGGGAGAGCTGAATTAATGGATGATGGTGTGGAAGTCAAAGGATAATTCTTAATAGCGCCAAAATAGAGGGAAAGAAAAACAAAGTGCTCTTAATTCTTATTAACTCTTCATGTGAAATGCATTTGTTATTGTTCGGTGCCACTGAGTTGGCTCCAACTCATAGCAATCCTATGTACAACAGAACAAAACACTGTGCCCGGTCCTGAGCCATCCTCAGAATCCTTGCTATACTTGAGCCCACTCTTGCAGCCACCATGTCTATCCATCTCATTGAGGGCCTTCCCCTTTTTCACTGACCCTCTACTTTACTAAGCATGATATCCTTCTCCAGGGAATGGTCCCTTCTGACAACACAACCAAAGTAGGTGACATGAAGTCCAGCCATTCTCGCTTCCGAGGAGCATTCTGGTTGCACTTGTTCCAGGACAGATTTGTTAGTTCTTCTGGCAGTCCATGATACTGTCGGTATTCTTCACCAATACCACAACTCAAAAGCATTAACTCTTCTTCAGTCATCCTTATTCCAGCTTTCACATGCCTAATTATGAGGAGTATTTGGGAGACTGTGTGTTTGGATAAGTCAGAAAATGTCTCTAACAGGAATAAACCTGTCGTTGTAGAGTTGAGCTTAACTCACCACACCTCATGTGTCTGAGAGTAGAATTGCTCCACTGGGCTATCGATGGCTGTAATCTTATGGAAGCAGAGCTCAAAGACTTCCATCGTACTGCTGAGTGAATGTGAACGGTCACCTTTAGATTAGGAGTCAAGCACAAACCAAGCATTTCTCTAATAGGAATAAGTCAGCTTAAAAGTAAATGAGCAATTGGGTTCACATTTACAAATAACTAGAGATGGTTACTTAAAATTTAAAAACAAACAAGCAAACAACCAATTGCCATTGAGTTGATTCCAACTCATGGCAACTCCATGTGTATCAGGTTAGAACTATGCTCTGTAGAGTTTCCAGTGGCTGATTTCTCAGAAGCAGACTGACAGGCCTTTCTTCCAAGGGGCCTCTGGATGGACTTGAACCTCCAATCTGTTAGTCAGCAGCCAAGTGCATTAACCATGTGTACACCTCTTATAATAAAATCTGTCAAAACTATTTTTAGGAACAAGAAAATAAAGACAACATATTATCCTTACGTTAGAAAAAATATTGAGAGGCAGGACCCAGCTCAATTAGAGTTACTATGAAGAGCTGTATCACACCTGGGGAGGGGGTGGGTGAATTCCCTTCTATGTGTACCAGCAAGTTTGCTAGTATTTCTCAGTACAAAGAACTCTTGTATTTGTTCTGGCAAAAATAAATAAAGGCTTTAAAATGAACATCCTAAGAAATAATCACAAATGATGCATTTGGGTTAGGCTTTTCAATGGAAGCTGTTGATAGGATTCAAAAGTTACAAACCCATCATCTCTTCATTGCTAAAACAAACTGGTAAACAAGGCAATAAAGTCTGAATAGGGGAAAAAGTGGCAGCAATATAGATTAAGCTGGAAGAATACA